TTGCAAAATCCGTTAGCAATTTCTTTAGATAAAAGATAGCCTGGAGATAGGCTCGGGAGACAATAAATTTTCATGATAAATTTCACTGAGATGCATTTAACCGTTTAGTTTTGAAAGTAAGCATACAGACACACTTTCCTATCATATTAGTATAGATTTTCTCGAAACATTATCTCGGTTGCAATTTCGATGAAAATTGTAATGTGCTTTGATATGTTTTATAGGTTTGGCTTTTCAATTTAACTTAATAACTTTGTACTATAAAAAATATAAACATACGACAAGCAAAGTACGGGTGCTTGTACTTAAATTAGTAACTGAAGAAATATTAGTATATAATTATATGTATTTACATAATGGTTACTTTTGCGAGAACTATTGCTAATTCTGAACTGTAAATCAGTATATATATCAATAATTCTTTTATAATTAAAATGTTTCAATACCTTATTTTTTATGTAATTTAAATGGAAAACAAGCTAACGGTCCACCTGATGGTAAGTGGTAATCGTCGCCTACATACATGAAATACGGACATCGCGTTATCATATGACGCCCGCGGTACCTCTCAAACGTCATAATTCCTAAGGACTAACATCTCATACCTCCACATCCTGTAATTTCACTGCTCAGTTATAATTGGTTGCTTAGGAATTTTATTACAGCTTAAATTGGTTTTTAAATCCTGGAATTATTTCAGGCCAGTTTGTTAGTGCGATGAACTGCAAGCAAACCAATTAGTGCAGCGTGCGCACGATAGCCCGCTATCCCATAGCAACTCTAATTGCAACTGACGGCTGGAGGTCAATTGACACCACTCCAATTTATTTTTATATAATCATCAAATTAATTTATAAAACATTAATATTTCACAACTGTCGTGAGATAATAACTTCAATGATAAATATTTTATCTAAAAAATATTCTAACAATGTTAAATGACACATATAAGTAGCTAATTACGATAATATAATTAATTTAAACTTTAAATGTAACATTTTTTTTCAGTGTCTTCAAATACATACACTTTGATTTACAATTATGGACAAAAACAAAAAATATAATCTTTATATTGACTTATATTTCTAGCTGAAAACATAATTATCAAGATGAATAAAGTGGTGACGTAGTAAGAATATTTTTTGTTTCACCAACAACTATATAGGTACATTAATTTTATATCATAAGTACATACATAAGGGTGAAATGATAATTGTACATGGCCAATTAAAGATATACTGCATTTATAAATAATATTTTAACTTAGTAAAACCCTTACATGGATATAATCACTAATCATAGGATCGATCACATACAAATGTAAAAATATATAATGCACCAACACTCCTTTTCATCGATGGATATCGTAGGAAGCAAATAGGAAAACAAATCTGCAGAAAAGAAGGAAAAATTTGCAATTAAAGCCCGTAATCGTGGCTTACCACCGTGTTATGAGGACTATTAAGGGAAGAGGGACGATAATAAATTGTTATGAAGATATGATGATAAATACAGTAGGTATATCTACTTGCAACTAATTAATTATTTAGTTTTATTCAAAAAGAACTACCTTCCTTGTCGAATACTATTATATATGTATATCTACTATATACTTGACAATAGAAATAGTAATATAATATTATTTAGTCAATAAAACTTTTGAATAGTTGTTTTTATTCTACAGCTTATTCCTAAAATAGGTTCAACACAAGAAGAGTGAGCAACAATCATTGACATGAAAAAAATGAAAAACATTGATTAAATAAATGTTTTTCAACTGCATATATTAGTAGGGAAATAACCCCTGATAATTAAAATACACAAGTTTAAAGCTAGTTTTTTGAAATTGGTTAAATGCAGCAACATCCGTCACCCGAACTAATTCATTTGCTAGTGTGGCGAAGAATCGCTGCAGGCGGGCCAATTAGTGCGGCTCGCGACTGATGACCCACCACTCCTCATCTCTCTGATGACTACATAGGGGTCACATGTCAGTTTAATTTAATTTTAGAACACGCGTCCTAATATATGTATATATAATTGTACCTTTACTATTTTTTAAATAGTTATTTTACTCTCTTCCATAATCCTATTGTAAACTTGAAAGTTAGTAAAGATTTTTGTATCTTTGTTTCTCAAGAGCAACATGAGTTTAATTACATCAGTTGTTTATTGTTGAAAAGTTCTCTAAATGAATGTTAATGAAATTTGACATGAAATTAGATAGCAATAGAGATGCAGATAATGCTGCTACTACTTATTTTGAATATGTCCTAATGAATGTAAATGCCTATATACCTCAGAAACGCAGCCGTAGTAACAGGTAAGAATCATCCTACTATTATATATATCTGAAAGTTTGTAAAGATGTTTCGAATTTTATTATTCAAAACAAACTTTAGCACCAGACCGGGTTTCAAGAAAGTTTTAAATACGAACAGACCAAGTCAAAGTTGATTACTAGAGAACTAGGTGTGAGCATTCATTCTAATCCTAGTACCTAATGCAAATATAATAATCAATAAAAATTAGAAAAGAACATCATTTACGTATATTTACTACGAAAAACTAACTACAATATTGATTTTCGAGACAAAGATTTATCTCACACGATGTTACATTTTAAAAGGGTATTTGTAGCGGCCAGTAGTCGATGTAAACCAATCAGCCCTGATTAATTTATCATAACACCCTCGTTAATATGGTCTGTTTATTAATTATCCAAAGTTAATTACCTAATGGAAATGCATCAGCTTATCATATGTAGGTACTTACATATTAAGCTTGTATGTGCAATATAGTAGATTTACAGGTAAGGTAATGAACATACGGTGCCTATAATTTCATCTATATGCATAGAACTAGTGTTAATAATTATACAAGATTTAAAATTATAAAATATTTCTTGGTACTTCAGCGTCAATGTAAGTTTATATAATAGCAAGACAAGCATGTAATCATACAAATTTTACAAAATATACTTGTTTTCTAATCTTGTATGAGATTCAGTGTACAAGTATCTATTTTTTTTTTGTGATAGATGCATGGATTTTTGCTCTTAATGGAATATGTACGTTTATCTCAAGTATTAATTTTAATGAAGTTTATCAAATTTATGCAGATACCTGTATAAAAAATTTAAAAGTATAAGCAATTTCTCACTGTTCGTTAATGTAATAAAAAAGTACAAAAAAATAATTTTAAGTCATATCAGAAATTCTGAAATGTAGTTTAAAAATTTTAAAAACAATAATAATACTGACATACAAACTTATTATAAAAAGATTACTTAATTTACTTAATAATCGCATAATCTCCTCATTAAAAGTAGTTCCATACGCGTCCTAATAGATTTGACAAAAAGACGGCCAGTTATATTGGTAGTACTTATTTACTCGTGTGGATATTTTATCCATTAATTGTGTCCGGTAATTATAGACATACAAGAAACAGTGTTTGTATTAAAACGAATGAAACATTGCTCTCCTGTAGTGATGTAGCTCTAATGAGCCACTTGCTAATTAGAGAATAAACAAGCCGGATACGGATTCTAATTGGCTTTTGGGACAACCATGTCGCGCTGTTTTTAGCTATTAGATACCTATCTGTTTATTACACAATTGTATTTATTTACAAATAAGAACAATGGCCTCGCTGGTTACTTTCACATGATATTGTAAAAAAAACAATAAAGGATATTCATAGATATATATAATAAAATTATAATCAATGTATGTATATTAAATATCTGCGGCCTCGGTGGTCTAGCGGTTCTGCACACTCATTTACTTCCTGTGGTTGCGAGTTCGAATTCTCGCACGATAAAAACGTATTTGTTTTTGACTATGATTGTTGTATCGGTCTGAGTGTTTTAAAGTATTTTTTTGTATTTACATACATAATAAATCTAAGTATTTATATCAATTGTCTAATACCCAGAACACGAGCTCAACTGAGTTTGGGACTAGATGGAGTAGTCTGAATAGTCCAAGGATACTGTAGTTATACTTTTAAAACAACAAGTTTTTAGAATCGTATGTATGTATGTTTTGCTGTGCGCTTGTACACGCTAATCTCAAAGACAGTTTAACGTACTGAGTGTGATTTTCATTGATGCAATTCTAAAACTTCCTGTGTGTGCTTCTTTTATTTAGTTCGTTAAATAATATAATAAAATTATAATCTATGTACTTTTAGTATATATGTATGTTAATAAAAATAGTTTTTAAAGTTTTCATACAGAATTTTCAATATGAAATACTAATAGTAACAAGTAAATAAATACAACTATCTAATATTAAAATAATACACAGTGTAATGTAAGTAGTAAAACCAGAGCCAATGTTTAGATGAAATAGGCCGAAAAAGCACGTGCAAGCTGAAAATAAGTGTTGTACGAGAAATAAACACACTTATTATGTATTTGGAGAATTCACTTTTAAAATTTTATTCCTGCTATAATGATTTTAACGAAATAACCAATGAATAAAAATAATAATAAAGTTAACCAACAAAATTATTTTATATTCAAAAACTTGTGTATATGTGTATTTATATATTCATTAATACGTAAGGATAGGTTTCGCTTATCTTACTCGTTTATTTTTAACTTACGTACCTATTACACGTAAATTAGTTTCATCTTATCAGGGCTTCTACCTTATGTTCGGTCGACGTTGTAATCGTTAGCTGCCCATTTAAAGATAACAATTAACTTAACCGGTAGTTAATTGTTATAGTATCTATTAACGATACCTAAGTTTAGAGAGAATGGCTACAAATTTATTTTTATAATTTGTATGTTTTACTATTTCTTTAGGGGTACTTAAATCTAAGTCAATAATATAGTCAGAAAGAGTCAACCACACTTTGATAGTTTTCCGAAGAAGTTTCGCGCTGATAGTACGCTGATCATTAAGGGGACTCTTCAAAGCTGTCGCCGCATTACACTAATTGACGCAATTAGAGGGATTGCCGAACGGAAATAAAAGTCGGCTCACCTTCATGAAACGCCGGCCCAGCCAATTAGCTTAGCAACTCGTAATTAGCCTCTTCAAACACTCTTACAGCAGACTAGTCCTTTACACAGTTAAATAATCACAGCACATAAAAGTAGTGTTCATTTTTTGTGCGCAAGAAAAATGTTTCACAGCACTGAAAAGTTTTTCGCGATCGCGTGATATTGAGCTTTTTCTAAGCACAGAAACGTACATACGACACGGCCGCTGGTAAGCGAATGAACAGTTCGGCGGGAGGAGGCCGTCCGCCACACACACCGTCGTCTAGGCGGGGACAGTCCTTCCTTTTCCCGTACAAAAGCTCCACCATTGCGGAGCTTTTCGCACAGAGCCGGTGTGTTACTTGTGCCCTATTCCACATAAAGCACCGCTTAACTCTATAAGTGGGCAGATTTTGTATGATGTTGCATTTAGGCCTAAATAGAAATAATAGAAAATAAATTTATTAATTTCTCAACATTTATATGTATTTCATGAGCTATTAATAATATACATATTGATCATTTTACAACAGACGATAAATATGAATATCTATTAAATAATCGTGAAGAAGTTTAACATGTTTATAATTTGATAAATAAATTATAAACAGAAAATAAAACTGGTGAACATCAAAATAAAAAAGAATTAAGGGTTATAACGAATTGTTGAAAAACATAGGTATCTTCCTAATTATTGATGCCCAAATACTCATGAGCCACATTCACTTAAAGTAGTAACAACTCATCGTTAAGACACTAATATCTGAAAGTATTACGGAGGAGAAAATGATAGGTTATTTGTAGGGTGATAGGCGTCACATTGTCAAAATTATTAGAAATATGTAGAAAACCTATATGTCATATAAGATCACTGAATATAGTTAATTGCAAAAACACCCACAGTAATTGTCAAAACCACACACACCCACAGTAATTGTTATGTTTTCATAATCTTAAAATAGACACATAAAATAAAATGAGATTCACTTCCTTTATGTAATCAATTGATAAATTTCAAATAAAATTGCGAATATTTTAATTTATTTACATAATATTAGACAATATAATAATTAAAATTACAACTAACGTTCATCTGCTGTTTTAATTCACTTCATTTCAATGACGAATGAAATAGTAATAGTCTACAAGTAAAATAGCGACTTGATACCACTTCATAATGGCTGCTTGTTATCCATCTTTTCTTATGAATACTTTTTATACAGATTCAATTAAGCCGGCATAAAAGGGGTGCAACAAAACATGATTTATTGTGGACACCATAATAGTTTTAATTAGCATTTCAAGAGGGCAGCTTTAGAGAGCTTGAGTAATCGTAAAGCCTTTAAATAGAGACTCATTATAAAGTACTATAATAAAGTATACTTTTACACTTGAATTTATACATAGATAACTAGTTATGATCGAATTTCTAACGTTGGATAACGAAAGTAACATACTCACGCAACAGAGTCAATGTCAATGATATATTAAGAGAGAAGAAATTGAGTAACATCATCATAATAGCGTAATAAATTATGCGGAGGGTCCTTATGACTTGTAGGTATATTTAGAGATGAATTTGTTTTTTTTTTAATTTAATTAACAAACTGTTATCGAGTTTCTACTAGCTGCGAGTACTTTATATGTAGCTAATTATACCATAACCACAGATAATATAATATTACATACTATAACTATATTGTTATTTAACTTACCTATTTTTACATTTATATAACAATGCGGCATGTTGGAATTTTTCTATTCTGGATTGGATGTCTGTCGTAAAATACCGTACAAATAATAGGCATCCACTTCCTTGAGATTGTATAAAAATAATTTCAATAAACTGTTTAGACTCAAGTAAATCAAAATATAATAGGTCAATTTAAAAGAGCCTACATGACGTGAATATGCTAAAACTCCTAAACAAATCGACTGGAATGTGTTGCGTTTCCGTGTCAATTTGCGATCCATTCAGTATAGCCCCACAAAAATCAAGGATACAAGTACCTACATAGATTCAGTGTATTGAAAATTGTATCGATAAATAATTTATTACTGTAATACTTCACAAGCTAATATTATATCTTATTAAGGCATAAACACCGACGTAATCAGATTTTATTAATTAAGTTTCTTTAAGTTAATAAAGAAATTTAATTAATTTGTATATTATTATATACAGTAATACTGTATTTTATTAATGCTTTAATGAAATTAATTACCGATAACGTCTGTATTTTTTAAAGAGTTTTCTTAGATCTTGAAGTTGTTTAACAATATTCATGACTAATTTGGTTTTATTTCATTTGCTATTATTACTGATGTTTTGTTATTGATAGTGTTTAAAATATTCGATTCAATTACGAACTTCATAATTATTAGTCCTTATGGATATCATCATGGGGTTAGGTACTTATATATTTAGGAAACCCCTATTAACAAAAGGTACCTGTCAGGACAACCATTCTTTGAATATTTTTTGTTTTATATCTAATATTTTTTACTTCTTGAATATATCACTGCTACAATGATACATATAACAATTGAAACATTGGAAATCAAATAATATTTATGCATAACGAACTAGGCTTGTTACAAACTCATCGATAAATCAGGCGCACATCACTACAACGAGCGCAGGGATCTGACGGCCTACATTGACGTATTTATTTTCTATACGAGTTTAATTTATTACCGTGTAACTCGAGACATGTTCGCTCACAAATCATCTCAGCTTTTACGTATTTTCAGCGACATTTTGTCGGCTACTCATTCTTGCCCCCTTCTCTAGTCATCTTAAAAGGGTTACTGTGAAAGGACTATTATGCTGTAACCAACTTTTATGCAGATTGATAGCACCGTTTCCACTCTTATTTCGTAACAATAAGAACTATTATTGTGTGCAAGAATTAAGAAATACACATGCGATATTTTAGTGTTCTCTTTGTGTACAGTCAACCTGATTTTGATGAATAGATTGTAATTCCCATTTTCTTCTAGTACAGTGCTACATACAAAACCTGTTCTCATTTTGTACTTCTCTTTATTAAATTACATATGAAACACTCGCCTCTTTATTAGTTTGCACCATTTTAAAAAAGGTACTGTCAATAGCGTAATCCCTGAATTGAATTCTGTTTTTGTTTTTTTTAAGAATTGCGGTCATTAATAAAAATCGTTTGCTTAGCTACCGATGTACGCGGAGTCTGGATTTATGCCGCAATTTTATATACTTCACTACAATGTTTTGGTTGGTTGTGACAAAAAATTACTTTTTACATCATTCTTTTCCCATCATCACTAATAAATAATAAGTAACAATTAAATTTATATTTACGTAAGTCGTAATTATGATTTATGTTATTAATATTTCTTTTACATCAATATAATGAAATAGCTAAGTATCTAATATGTTTTAAAGTAGATGTATTTGATTTATTAAATATTTACCTCATTCATTTGTATTTGTACTAGAGCAAATTATTATTATTATTAACTTGTGTAGGTATATTGTGCGTTTATGTAACATGTGTTTATAAAGTATTTGCTTGCAGTTTAATTAATATTTACATTTATTACTTAACATCATTAGTATGTTAATAAATATATAGTTATATTAATTGTAAAACACAGTAGCTAAACTGTAAAAAAAAACAAAATTTATCACTTTCAAATGGTTTAAAGATTATACGAAGCTTGAAAAAAGCCGCTATTTCCGACGGCTTTCATTGAATTCGACTTAAACCAATTAATCACTCTTATCAGGTTGTTTCCTCGAGTTTTTCGGAGGGATCGACGGCTGACCATTGAGCTGTTGTTGTGGGGATAAACGGGAGCCATTGTGAGCCATTTCGGGCCATTGTTGTGGGCCATTGTGTTGACGACTGATGGTGCCGCCGACCGTGCTGGGTAAACTCACGATTAGTCTTCAGTAACGTTTAAGGAACTCTGATTATATTGAAAATTATCGATTGAAATTAATGATTTTCTTTTGACTAAATAATTAGAACAAAATGATTACATAATTTCTTCTTCCCAACAACCTAGTTAGATACATATATACGAATAACATTTTATTATTACAAAACTTATCTTAGACCGTTTGAAATTTTTGACAGTTTTTGAATTATTACCGTAAATATTTGATTAAAATTAAAACATGCTTTATTATAGAATATTGTGGCCTACCGGTTTAATTTTTATAAGTCAGAGTACTAATAGAAAGATTCTACTACAAATCTGGCTGATGCCAAAAATATAACTTAGTATGTCAATTTATATTTCTTACACTAGAGAGTCATCTCTAGTGTAAGAAACACAACAAATGTCTAGGTCTCAAACTACACAAACTAAACACCTGGGGCGGTAGTTGAAAAAACCCTCACAACAAATATTTATAAAAAAAAATTTCGTACATTGTCGCGTTTATTTAATCGACACCGCATACTCGTTTAACATAACTACGTGTCCTCGACTACGATCTATATATTATTGTATTTATTTCAGTTATTATTATAGTATAGGTACTTATGCCATTTTGACTTTTCCGCTTTTATAATTTTTAACAGATCGCAGTATGAATATTTGAGTATTATTTCGTAATTACACAAAAAACCTTTATTGCCTTGATATTAAGTGCGTGCTTAAAAAACTTCCTAAGTATATTCAACGAACTCACAAGCTCATAATACCCAATTTCCCCCTCGTTTATTAGCCCCCCACTCTAAGTCTTGGCAAAGAAAACAACTAAACGGGAATTTGCATAAATTAAACGAAGGCACCTTTCGCCAGTTTACAAAGTGTGCTAATGACGGCTTAAGGCTCTCACGCGAACTGATTCGGTGTCACGTGACGTTGATTACGAGTTAACTCTAATTGTTCATTTTATTTTAAACATACCCGTACAGACGACTCTACCTGCCACTTCAAAACAATATGACACCCTAAAATTATACCTTGATTTTTTACTTGTAACTACCTAATACTCTTTCTTCATTACATAACTTACTTATGTATTAAAGAATGAACATACACAATTAGCTTGTATAAAGCAGGCACATCTTATCTTTTTTTCAGTGAAAAAACATCTTCAATCACTTAATCTCGATATCATTGATTTAAATTTATTTAAAAAAAAATCTTCTGTATTATATACAGAAATTTCTATTTATACACATATTTACAAGTATACTTTTAAATAGGTAGACTACACAGCCAAT